GGGCTTAAATCAACAAAAACAAAATAAGATAGATTGGAGCATGGCCAATATGTTCAAAATGAGGCCATAGCGCCAGTTTAAAAGGTGTTTTAACAAGCTGCTTAATGGTAAATGCAAAACTAACAAGAAAACCTAAACTGTAGAGTAAAATCTCACATTTTCAACAATAAACTTGCACAATTAGTGAAATAATATGATCAGATTTAGTGGCCATGTTTACATGCAGTCTGACAATCTGTTAATAATCCCACTAATAGCTCAATTGGAATAGAATATGTCCATGTATACACCTCAATCTGAGTAAACTAGTCCGATTGAGGCCATTTCAACATTACATGGCCTGCTGTTAGTGTGTGTGTGTCTATGTGGGTATGTGTGCGTCTGTGTGAGGGTGGACAGCATGGACAGGCTGCTGACTGGCTATAGTTGCAAAAGGAGAACGCTACGCTGGACACGTGATATTTTAAACGTGGTAATTTTACATTAATTGTTGTGGCTGTATTGATTTAAAAAAAACAATAATGCGGTGGATCCAGCAGACCACTGAGTAACAAAAACATGAACAAAACACAAGGGTTGTGTAGAAGAATAATAGCCTGTATCTGATTACATTCTCAATCAGAAAGTTTAAGCACATTCTGCACATTCATACACACTGTACATTGCCTCATAACGGAAGTTTATAACATTTGACATGGCGGAAGCAAAAAAAATGGTCTGCAGAGGAGACAGTTTATTCTTCCAATTTTGAAAGACTTTCAAATATTTCTCAGGATAGATGGCCGTAAACCTCAACATAATGAAACAAGTATATGAGCACATGAACAACAGTGAGTTCACACAAACAGATGGGAGTTTCTCAAATCAGTGTATTACAAAGCTAAAAGCCAGAATGGTAAAAGTGGCTCTGATCCATCCACTTTCCTGTTTTACAAAATTATGGAAAAATTAATCGGAGATCGATTTCTTGCTAACATGGCTAAAAATGTTATGCATGTGCACTGTAACATCTACACTTGATGGTACTCTACACCGGTATGCGAAATATCCCCTGGTATTTGCGGGGGTCCCGTGTTGAGTGGCTCCTTCAGCATTGGCTGGGTGCTAACTCACTCAGCTTCAGTGGCGCCATATCTTTGGTTTAACAGTTCTTCTTCCGGAACTGCTCTTTTCTAGTTTAGTGATGCGCTCTTCCACACATTAACCAAGATCTTACACATCTCCTCTTTTGTCTTCGGTGTGAGAAATGAGTAAGTAGTTCTCTCTTTCTACCAAACTCTTGGGAAATTGGGCAAGTTTTCAGATTTACAAATATACTGTGGCATATTGTAAAGTTTTTCAGGGGTATCCCAGGCATAGTTACAGTTGCTAGAATGTGAAGGACCATTTGGGTGAGCCAGTTTGCTTCAGCACCACCCCGAGGCAGACCAGTGCTGCATCCCTAGTTACAGAAGACAGAAGCTTGTTGATTGTGGGTGAAGCATGATAAACTATGACCTTCACTAAATTTGTATTTAATCGTAAGTATATTTTCATGGACCACCCAGAATTTAGATTTTGAGGCATTCAGGGGGACCAAGAGGTTAATTAGGCCCTGTATTTCGCAACTTGCCCTACGCATGTGTGTAATTTTGGATCTGGATCTTGTAGTCTGCATGTTAATTGAGATTTTCATCAGATTGTTGAGTAGAGTGTGCATATAAATGCCTCAGTGTTAATCTATAATCAGAATGAATTTAATCGGATCGGCAAAAATCTTTGCATGCGAACATAGCTAATGTCCCTGGATACTGTGGAAGTGTAAGATCATGTGGGGACAATCAAATCATTATATTGCACATATACGTACACTTATTACACTTGCATTGACTATTTCAAAGTCTAGCAGTGCCTTCTCTTTAGCGGTGTGTGTAATGTTGTGGTTACGATTCCACCCTATACTGATAGGAGTTCTTGGGCAGGACTTCTAATGTCATATTTACCAAACTCAAATTGCTTTGGATAAGAACATCTGCCAAATGCACAAATGTAAATAAAAATTTTAGATCATTGAAAGTAGCAGAAGGTGGTGTGTATTCCTCAGAATCAAATCAAGATTGCTCAAACTAGAATTTTCTGTTAAATGTTTTCTGCCTTTTCCTGATGCTGAAAAAATCAACAACGCAGCATTCTCTGACTTTTGCACAGTGCTGTATACAGACTTGTTCACAAAATTCATACTAATCTCCTTAGTAACTACAAAGCACAGGATATTTATTACAGGCAAAAAGCTGACAGAACTATAACAAAAGGCCAATAGATGGCACCACTTGCTTCTGGTATTTATTTGTACGTTCAAAAAGGCTCTACTTTGTGATCATTATAAAGGGCATCAGAATAGAGCTCTTCAGCTTCTGCTCTGTTATTCATGGTTATTGAACGGTTACAATATCACTTAGTTCACTTAGTGTACACAATAAAAAATGCTGAACACCACTGATAGTAGAATACAATGCAGTTTGCTAGATTATGGGGTTATCTTGAGCTACATAAATCACCTGAAATCAAACAAAAATGTCTGTAACACAGTGTCAACAGACTTGGCTTATTTTTGACCTTATTTCTACAAATCTCTTCCACCTCCTTGAGAAATGACTCACCTCCTCCTAGTAGGTCTGATGGCCTCAGACTATTTTGTAATTCTTAGTAGACCATGAGTTCCATAATTACACAGGTTCTAAAGAATGAACTGTTGAGGGTGTCAGTACTTCTTGTTTTGAGCATAACAAAAAACAGAGAGATCAATCGCATACTCTAAAATTTGCCAACACATGCACAAAAAACAGTATAGATGGCACTGCAATGAACCTGTTCCTGCCCAATATATAATTTCTTTGATAGAAATAACTCCTTTCATAGATACAGTGAACTAGTCGAGCAGCTAATTCAGAAGTCAAATGAATATGATCTAGTAGTTTGAAGATCTAAAAATTATCTGTGTACGCATGAATTCATCAGACGGAACAGTAGCTTTAAATTTAGAAAATCCCTTCTATTTAGGCAAATACTTTGCTTGTGCACCACACAAAATTTCCTTTTCTTTGGAAAATGAAAGAAACATTCGAGTGGAATCCGTTTTACCATTCCTAAACTTCTGTTTATACACTTCAGATACAGCCTCATGTGCATGTAAGATAGCTGTCTTAACACTGTTAGACAAACAAAGTCCTCACATCTTTTAAAACAAGTGGTCTGTTCAAAACAAGTGTAATACATTCATGCATGCTGAAACAGGTGCCCACCTCTTGTCTGTCAAACCCAGAAGAGTGGGACACAAAAGGAAAATACACCAGAGAAGAAGGCTTTTAAGAATCTGACTATATCTGACTGTCGTTGCCTTCAAGTCATTTGGCTTTTCAGCCTCTAATTCTGTCTTGCAACTAGCTTTTAGCTTGAACTCCACCTGTACTAGATTTTTAAGAATGTCAGCCTTTTTAGTGATATTTTTGTTTTTTGTGTAAAGTTTTGGATAATTCAATTTTTGGCTAAACTACTTAGATAGTTTTGACTTTAACCCTAAAGAAGTCTCAAAATATATTTAGTTTGAATTTAAGCATGTTTCATTAATATTCGATATAGAAAATGACTTGAGTGCTCTTCTGTTCATTAAAGTTGTTGAAATAAAAAAGCATCATATCACTGACCCGTATGTGAATATGGCCATTTAAAATGTGTGTGTGTATTGTTTATTTGCTATTTGGGTGCCATTTTTGCTACTTAAAAGCAAATGTAAACAAAAGAGACATGCGTCCCACAAATGTAAAGATCTTTAATTTATGAACTTACCAAAAGAACAAAATGTTAGATTACAAACTAGCAGAATACTGGAGAAAATCTGAAAGATTTGGGAATGTTGGATATATAGTCAGTTCAGTTAAATTAAACTTTATTGACATTATACCAATACAGGGTTGTACAGTATCACAAAACATTGGCTACTTCTCTGTGCATTGGTTAAACAATAGATAAAGACAAAAGTGCAAAGACAATAGGTGGATAGACAATGTATACAGGTATTGCATGAACAGTAACTGTAGGTCAGAAGGCAGAGGTGGAATTTCAAAAGAACTTCAAACTATAGTTACTATACTACAATAAATGAGCTATAATAAATATGTAGACTTGTGTGATTTACAGCGTAGGTTTTTATAATGTGTATTAATTGGAAGTGTACAGTATGTTGAGGTAAACCGGCTCTGATGTGCAGATAATAACAAATGTTAGTAAACAGTCATGGGGAATCCAGCACCCAGACAGTTCCAGGAAAATATCCTTTCATCCTCGCTGGATAGGGATTTGCTCCAGCTATCTTGGTGGCACTGATGGTTGATGGTGACCGATGGTGAACTTATGAAGATCCCAGCATCACGAAGGTCAATCTTGCAGAGCTTTGCACACGGAGGAGGGTGCCTCAGTTTGTTAGAGCGATAATCTGATGGCTTCCTTGAGGTGCTAACTGAGCTATTTGAGATACCAGATGTGATATGAGTGGTGTCTCGGCACAGACAGCAAGCAATGCTGGACTGTCGGACCTTGAGAAGATCTGTCTTGGTGTCTTTGAGCAGGCTACGGTTAAGAGGGGATCCATCTAACATCAATAGCTTTGCCAGGTCCCTATTCACAAACAAGGTTCTGGCCAAGTGGAGATCTTTGTCAGCCTTTCAGCTATATAACTTGCCATGTTTGGCAAGAAAAGGCAACTTTCAGTCTTGGCATGTATAGATGCAATCATAAGAACAATTGCCACAACAGTGATTTCAGCTAAAACACTTTTAATAGCAAATAAATAACAAATAATACAAAACAATTAAGTACAACTCTGATACAGTAGGTCTCATTATGAGACATGGGTATATCATTCTTGAAGATACTTCAATTAACATTAAGGCACATATTTTTGCTGTTTTTGGAAAGAATTGAACATAGAAGGACAAAACTGTAATTATTTTGCCCATATGTTAGGAGGAGCTATAGCAGCATCTACAAATCCATCAGGCCTAGGCCTAGTTTAATTCTTTCCCCCTATACCAGTTTATAACAGCTTTAGGTGTATGTGACACTGAGTACTGACTATTGAAAACAATGTATCATAACTACATTACACTATATTTCCATACATTATAAATACGTTTCAAAGATTGCAATAATTTTAAACTTTTGGTCCACTTCTCAACCACACTGACAGCATATCAAAAAATATTAGAAAAATAAGGCCACTTCTCACTATAATAGCAAAGAAAATAATGAATAAATAGGCAATAAATAGATGAATTGTTCCGAAGGGCTTTAACTTGCTCCAGGGCTTCGTGAGGTAGTGTCGTCCACACATTCGCATGTCGTCATCATCTACTTGTCATCTTCCTTTTATGGAAGCAGAATGAAGGCCTGAAACAGAAATGTACAGTGTTACTCGCTGAAAACGTAAACTACCCTTTATGTTACAGAGTTTTCATTTTTTTTTAACTGACAGCTTGACATTTTTTGTTGATAAAGCTGAAACTTTCCAAAATGAACTTTTCTCCTCTCTTCAAAAAAAAAAGAATACACATGAATACACATTTTAAAGGTTTAGCTCATTTTCATTTTAGAAAGACTGGGAGCAAAAGATATCTATAAAATTCTGTTTTGCTGTTTTAAATAAGCAGAAGAGAGGCACTGAAGACCTGTGCAAAGCAGACCCTAGGTGGATGTTTTTGCTGTATCAAATCTAGACTGGAGTTAAAAAGCACCATCAGCACAAAAACATGAATTTTTAATTTTAGTCGGTTCAGAAAATGACAGGTGCTCAGATGGATGATGGAGAACTTGTGAAAGGCTCACCTTCTGTAAGAGGCTCAGTAAATTCTTCATAAATTCATGGCTGTCGATCATTGGGTAGGAATTACAGGGCTGGCACTTGACTCTCTAGAATGGAATATCAAGCAGAGAGAGATCAGTATTTGGCATGTTGGGAACTAGTCTAAAGAGACATGTGATCTGATTTCAGAAAATGTTCTGTTGTTGATACTCACCGCTTTCTCTTCCACAGTGCACCTGTCCACACTCGTCACCTGCAACAACAACATAAACATGGCATTTAGTAACTATAAGTCTGCATTAAGGACAAATGAGCAACATAGGCTCTTGCCATTTACAAAGAGACTCTTCTGTGTTCTAGCTGATTGTAGTGAAATGTGGTGATGATATGTCCAGTCATGAAACTCTCTGATTTGGGAAAACTCAAATCCTACTTACAGTCATGTTCTTGCGAAGAGTTTTGTGCAGTTTGTTCTGCAGTTCTTTATTACTGGTGGGAATGTTGAGCATCTGGGAGTTGAAACACTCAAGGGCAGACCGAGCGCAACACTCCTAAACAAACAAACAAAAAGCATTTTTAATTTGTCCACATTTAACCATTTAAATATATATTTACAGTAAAGACGTGGTGAGCACTGCAGTGTTTCAGTGACGTCATCAAAGAACATGCTTTATTATTATACAAGATAAAAACAGATTAACTGAAAAACGTCTTTTGGTGATAATGATATGTAATATGAAGTTGAGCAATGTCTTTCAGTTCTGAGAGAAACAGCGTGGCATACATATTTATTCTGAATTCCCCTTTCTGAGCTCAATTCACAGAACTGACAGGGAAACATCATAATTTCCACATGAAACTACATGCATTTCCATAATGTTCCGTGAGAACGTAGAGATGCGTTTACGAAAACGATCGTGTTTGCTGTTAAAAATGGAAAAGGACAATGTCAGTCTTTTGAAATGTTCCGCTGCGATCTCGCGCTCCTAACTGAACTTATTTTTAAATAAACCGCGTTTATGAGCAACACCAATAGAGCTCAGAAGAGGTTGAATGCAGAAAAGACATAAGCGACTCGACCATTCCAGCAGCCCACAAATGTACTGCTGTTTGATTACTCATCAGATTTCTCCTAAACTAAGCACACTTTCTCCAAACTGTTGCATGACTTATTCTCTCAGTTTGACTCTTACAAGTGAGAGAGAAAGCCAAAAAAAGAAACTAAGAGAAACTTGAAAACATTAGTAATAAGTGTATTATATGTCTTTCAGCGTGTTTCTCCGTGGAGCACAGAATTTTGTTATAACTACATTCATTTAGTCAGTGAGTCACAATGAGTCATTGTGTCCTCTCCCTCTCTCTCTCTGTATGTATGTATGTATATATATATTTTTTACATTTTACATTTTTTTACATTTGAATAAAGATAGCTGACTTGTAATGCAAAAGTAAAACAATACAAATAGGTCACTTACCTCAATGCCATTGGTTGGTGAGTGGAAAAGAGAGTCAGTCTGCTGCAAAATTGAATAAAATAAATTGTCAAAAAGACATATTTTGCACAGTGTCAGGCAACCCCGCCCAGAATACATTAAATAAGCAACTAACCTTCATTATTTTAAGCTGTGTTACTTGTCTAATAGCAACCTGTAGCATGTCTTTTGGTGTTATGGCATGTGCTGTTTCAGCCCAGTATGTCATTGCCAGCAGAGCACACAGAACAAAAGAGAAGACCGTCTTCATCTTCAGCTATGCTATTCACTCACGCTGATCGGAGCTGTAATGGACTAATGATTCTTTGATTTGGTGTTGTTCGTACTGGCTACAGGTGTACACTTACCTTTATATAAGATCCTTCGGGACGCAGGAAAACCGCTTCTTGGTTGAGACTGGAAAAACTCAGGGACAAACAGTGACTAATGACTTTTTCTTTTCCATCGACTCCGTTACGACGCTCAGTCGTAAGGTGCGTCGAAAGGCGCGTGCGTGGGGGGGGTTGTACGGATGCGAGAGTATGTGTGTGTACATACGTACGTGTGTGTGTATGTGAACCTGACCTAGACTTTCTGCACACTTGGCAGGAAACTACGAATTGCTCTCAGTTCCTCTTCTCATTCTGAATCAGCAGTAGCTCTGTGTGTGTGTGTATGTGTGTTGTGTGAGAGATAATGAGTGTGTATGAGATAGAGGTGCAGCTGAGTATATGTTAATGTAAAAAGGTGCTTTTTCTGTGTCTACCCACTCAAACCATGTTGATTGAAGACAACAACAGGAAGTTTTTTTTTCTTTCAAAAAATGTTCTTTTCTACATGCGAGATAAAAATAGCATGTTCGTAATGAAATGTTACTCTGAAAAGGGAAGAGAAATCATCTCCTCTAAGAAAACGTTCATTATGAAACTGTCCATGCCAAGACTGGATTTTTTAAAAAATAACTATTTGTTTATTTATTCTGTTCCCCTAAAGCAAAACATTAACAGTAAAGCATTAACAGTAAACCTTCTTTTGACTGATAGACTGGAAGCATGCACAAAGTAATATTTCTTGCTTTTGTTATTTGTTTGTAAATAATCATGCAGTTAGTTTGTAGCTGAATGTAACACACAGGTTTCTGCATCTTTCTGTATGTGTGGCACATACATTTGCATAGGTCCCATGGCATCAGTAGGTAAATTGTGTTCATATCTAGGTTTTATGACATAATTGGCAAAACCTGTCACACACTATGGCAAAGGAAATGAGGTCACGCTGTGATCCTGTGAAAGAACCCTTTCTAGATCAATCACAGGACATAGTCCTGAGTGAGCAGGAAGTGGTGGGTGGGGGGACAGTTGGCTGCTGTATGCCTTGTTGTGTCATCATTGTAGGGAAAAGCCCAGGTGACCCCCAGCCTGGCGGAGAGGGACGGCGAGCATGCATCTTCGCTGGGGATTCCTCTGACAGATGGAGTCTCTGTCTCAGCTCATGGAAGAGACGGCATTGAAGTAGAAACTATATGACTCACAACTTTCCTCCTCTAATCATGTCAGGAGCCGAGTTCTCTACCACAAGCCGCTCTGTGGTGTATGAGGTGTGAACTGTTTATTAGTGGACACACTGAAGCATCCTGAATGAAAAGTAAAACCTGATACTAATGAAATCTAATATCTACTAATGACCAGGTGAATCCAGGTTAAAGAATCTAAGAATGTATGTGTATGAATGAGAGAGAGAGGGAGAGACATAGACAGATATGGATGTCTGTGGTCGGTAGTGTTAAACGCAATAGTCGTGAAAAAAAAATGTGGTCAAAGAAGCAAAACCAATGGGAAAAAAACTTTGGTAAAATGTATTTAATGTCAAATAAAGCAGCATGTGTTCATTAAATAGTAAGGTTACAGAATTATTAGGTCAATTGCTGAAGTTAAATAAAGAAATAAATGATGATAAATAATGCATCATCACCACCACCAGCAATAATAATAATAGTAATAATAACAATGATAATGCAGGTAAATTTGTATCAGCTACAAAACTTTGTTTATACAGCATCTACATGATTCAGCTTTGTATTCAGTTTCTGATAGCAGTGAGTTGAGCTTAATAAAGTAAACACTCCAAGAAGCGGTGTTTATTTATTTTAGAAATAAATGGCCAATAAGCAAAAACGCTAATACACACACAGACATACATTTTCTAAGCTGCTTATCCTTCTGGGTCACAGAGAAAAACGCCAATATTACAATAGATATGAGCAACATTAATAGAATAAGCATTGATTTTACGAATGTCAATGTGTTTACTTAACCATTTTCAAACCTCTCCTCATAGCTTTCCCTTTTTACAGAATTAGTGTTTGTTTGCATTTATTCTAATGTTACAGGGAAATTTGTGTGTGTGTGTGTGCTTTTATATATATATATATATATATTTATATATATATATATATGCACATTAGCGTAAAATCAATGCTTATTCTATTACTGTTCATATATATTGTAATATTAGCACTTTTCTCCGCGACCCAGAAGGATAAGCAGCTTAGAAAATGTATGTGTGTGTGTGTGTGTGTATTAGCATTTTTGCTTATTGGCCATTTATTTCATATATATATATATAAATATATATATATATATATATATATATATATATATATATATATATATATGTATATATATATACACATTCATTTCTTTTAGAAATGACCATATGATAATTAATTAAACAAACCAGTCACTTAATTCAGTACACCTCCTTATATCTACATTTTATCAGCTCCACTTACCATATAGTTGCACTTTGTAGTTCTACAATTACAGACTGTAGTCTTCTGTTTGTGTCCTTTGTTAGCCCCCTTTCACCCTGTTCTTTAGTGGTCAGGACCACCACAGAGCAGGTATTATTCAGGTGGTGGATCATTCTCTTCAGTGACGCTGACATGATGGTGCTGTGTTAATGTGAGTTGCGCTGGTACAAGTGGATCAGACACAGCAGTGCTGCTGGAGTTTTAAGTGCCACTGCTGGATTGAGAATAGTCCACCAACCAAAAATATCTAACTAACAGTGTCCTTTGGGCAGCATCCTATGACCACTGATGAAGGACTAGAGGATGGAACAGATGAGCTTTTGCCTCTAACTTTTCATCTACAAGGTGGACCAACAAGGTAGGTGTGTCTAATAGAGTGGACAGTGAGTGGACCCAGTGTTTAAAAACTCTGCTGTGTCTGATTCACTCGTACCAGCGAAACACGCTAATACGCCACCACCATGTCAGTGTAACTGCAGTGCTGAGAATGACCTGCCACCCAAATAATAGCCACTCTGTGGGGGCCTGACCACTGAATAACAGGGTAAAAGGGGGCTAACAAGTATGCAGAGAAATAAATCGACTATGGGCTGTAATTATAGAACTAAAAAGAGAATGGAGTACTTTATGAAGTGGCCAGTCGATGTGTGTATATCTGCATGTAAACACACACACACACATATACATATATATATATATATACAGACAGATATATATATATATATATATATATATATATATATATATATATATATATATATATATATATATATATATGTATATATACAGACATATATATATATATATATATATATATATATATATATATACATATATATACAGACAGAATCCTTAAAAATAATAAGAAAATTACAATAAAGCACTGTCAAGAGTCTTGAAACACATCTTAAATCTTTAAAAAGGACCATTTCCATCAATTTGTTTCATTTTTATTAAACCATTCCATGCTTTTAAAACAAATGGCATTATTTACACCTCAAAAGGATTGTGCTATATATTTATATGTTAAAAAAAAAACAAAAATTGTCAGAAATAACACAAAAAGCTTGATTAGTCCCAAAATAATGATTAAAGAGTACTGCCTGTGTGTTGGGATTGTCCATGACCATTTGTTTATTAATGGCTTGGTGTCAGTTATCATATTTCCTTCAACACTACGCAATCAGTTCACATCTGGGTTTAGTTTATCAGTGGGTAGCTACACAGAATTCTTACTCACCATTTTTTCCTGCAAACTACGTCATTTGTCAAAGTTGAAACATAAAATTGTTTTGTGGGTCAAAAAAGTGCATGCAGAGTGTCTACATCTAAAGATAGAATAAACTCCAAATAAAACTACTTCCTCTCGGCTGCTGTGTCAGAGGTGCTGTTGACAATAGTACACAGTTTATCATTTTAGCTGTGAATCTTGCGTGGGTTTCGTTACGCATGCTTGGTTTCTAGTGGTCGACGAGTGATGTAGAAAAATGGAATTTTGCCAGCAAAAAACGCCTGATAGCATGCAGTCCAAAGTCTCACTAGTCTCACTGACTAATCAGTTTCAAGTGTTATTTTCACTTCACTGAATCATGCTCAGGTTTGAGGTGCTTCCAGATAACCCTCGACATGTTATTGTTTAAAATTTTAAAATTAAAATTATGCTAAATTGGATACAGCATTCTCAGCATATCCTCTTCACTTTGGTTTACTTGCTTTTCTGGTGACTTGGCTAATATATAATAATTTTCAGGAGTGATAAGTGGACTTTATTATAATATGGTTATAAACAAAAAGATTAACTGAAATGTATTGAATGTATAAATATTTATATATGTATATGCATTTCATACCCTCTACCAGTTTGACTTTTTTTTTTTTTTAAGTCAAAATAAAGCCACACACACAACAACACACTGTCCACACAAAACACATAGTGGGGTCAAAAAGTCAGAGACCACAAGTGTAAATGCTTCTATTTTGCAATCCCTTTCTAATGTAATAGAAGGTTTTTTTCATTTATCATTAGCATAAAAAATTGAGTAGAATCTTAATTTTTCAGAATTTCTTTGTATTTGACAGTGCCCTTCAGCTGCTATGGACTCCACAAGTCTGTCCACCTGTGAGTCGTCTGACGTGTTTCAATGGAAGGCTTAACAAATATCCTGACCTTTTTGTACAAAGGCCGTAACATGGTCAGTGTCGAAAATTTGTTTAAATTTACAAGGTGATATAGGAATAGTGCAGAATCTTGAATATTTCTTCTCTATTTTACTAGTCATAAGTTTTCTTTTTCAAAATTCTAATATGTTCTGTTGTTTATCTCCAGGTTTAAATGAACAAACCCAGATTTCCAATGTGGTCTCAGACTTTTGGACCTCACTTTATGCAATTACAAACAAACCCCACTATCTATGCACTTCTAAACAAGCCCTTTAATATGATATCGGTGTTGTGTAAACGGACACGACTGTTTCAGTTTTCAAGGTTATTCAGACCGAGAGAGCTAAGCTCGCCGGTTTTGCGGATATTACGGTAAGTGTACAGGAAGACAGCAGGGTGTAGGTGGGGGATGGCCTCTATGGGTGTCTCTGTACACTAGGAATAATTGTTTTTTTTTTATTGCT